ACAGTAGTGTTGATGTTGCTCAACATAGCAAATACAGTACAAAGCACTGAATTCGATATTTGAAGAGGCTGGATTTTATGGCGGGCGAATTACACCTCAAAGATTAAGTTTGGAAAAGTAAAGAAGGATCTGTGTACCAGACTACAAATAATTTGCTTATGCTGAGAAAAATCTCAGTTTGTCATGGGGCCTGTTCTCTTTTCTGTAAAAGATCTATTTCATTATCTTTTTCTTTCTCTGAAATGCTTGAGGCAAGTTACTAAAGAATTTCAGAATTAATGCATACCTTTTAAATTCACTGATCCAATGATACAAAGAGAAAGCCCAGATCCAGATGGGTTAAGTCACATGTCCAAATGTCAGAGCTGGTCAGTGGCACAGCCAGGCTAGGATCCCGGGAACTACATAGTCATTGACACCCTCTAGGACTCACTTACTCCTGCTACTGGGAAGGCTCTGCCTGAATTAAAACTTGCTGTTAAGTGTCTAAAAAAAATTAGCTATATGAAAACGACCCTGTATAATAGAAAAACTAGCATTATACAGCCTCACATTCTCATGTGTTTCCTTTGATTGTAGCGAGTTGTGTGTAGATGTTTTAAGTGTTTCATAGATTAGAAAACACTGAGCTAGAATCAACTTCATCATTAACACCATCCTCATTTTTGTCTTCATCTTCCTCCTCATCTCCTCAGCCTTCTGCTTCCCTCCTCCTGCTCTTTTTTCCTTGCCTTTGTTCAGTCTTGCCTACTCTCTTCTACCATATCAGGCTGCACATTCTTTAATTGCTTCTTCATGTGACAGTGGTTTTATAATACCATTTTCTAGACGGAGAACTGAGACCATTCAGAGAGTCTAGTCTTTCCTTCAGCGTGGTGATCAAGACATGTTTTGTATCATTCGTAATTTAGGGGAGCTTTTTTCAGGCTCACCCCTATATTGGAAATGTCATGTACAATTTTAGGTGGATGTCAGTTTTGGGGAAAACTCTATCAAGAATCTTTCATTTGTGGACTGTAAAAGTTCAACGTATTTTGAGTTTTCTTCTGTAGTGATTATTTATTTTTTTTAAGTGGATAGTGTTCATTAAAAGGTTGGTTGATGTCAAGGTCTTGTAACAGTGGCATATTATGAATTTTACTCTGTTGATGTCAGTGACTTGTGTTAGATCAGCAAAAGATTTAAAGTCTCTTTCCAATGTGTTCATATAATTTACTCTTCATTGAATGTATTATCAAACAATGCAAGAGTCTTTTTAATCATTCCATTCAAAAAGTTACCTCTTTCTTTTAATAAACTGCTTTTTGGTATGATCTAAAGATATTTTGGGTATAACTGTCTTTTCAATGTCAGATCATTTCAATTAATTTCATTGTTCATTATTATTGCTTCTCTTTTCTATTCTATTTATCTAAAACATATCCCACCAAACCTAAACAAAATGTATACCTTTAGATTGGACCCCAACATGCTCATAATGCCACCTTCCAGAAGGGAGAAGTCAGAGTAGAAAGGGATAGTGGTCATAACTAATTGGCTAAAATAATTTACCTTGGCAAATTAAGAAGGAGACTGGCCCAGGGCCTTAGAAGGGGTTCATTCAAGGGTCCTAAGCTTAAACTTTGTTGCCTACATGGTGCACCAGCCCCTGGTGGTATGTTCTGGGTTCATGTGTACTCTTGTATGAGCACACATGTACGGACATGGGCCCAGGGCTTCCTCAGATCCTGCCCAGGTGAAAATGGCCCCAAAGACAAGGGTCATTTCATCTACGTTGCAAATGGAGTTGGCCTCAGCTGGATGCTCCTCCCACCCACCCCCCAAATCCAGGGGACTGCAGTGAGAGATGGGCCAGAAGGGGACCTCAAACCTGATCATACACGGAATGATCTAATCTCCAGGTGCTCCCCTCCCTCCCAACTTCCTCTCAGTCCTCCTTCCTTCCTTCCTTCCCATGCACAGGTACAAGGCAAGGCAGCTAAGCATGCAACCTCTGCCTCTCTGCCTGGATTCAAATCCTGGCTCATGACCTAAGCTAGTCCAGCAAGGGTTCTTCTCTGGGAATTTTCTTTCTTTTCTTTTTTTTTAGATTTTATTTATTCATTTGACAGAGAGAGATCACAAGTAGACAGAGAGGCAGGCAGAGAGAGGGAGGGAAGCAGGCTCCCTGCTGAGCAGAGAGCCCGATGCGGGACTCGATCCCAGGACCCTGAGATCATGACCTGAGCGGAAGGCAGCGGCTTAAACCACTGAGCCACCCAGGTGCCCGATTCTCTGGGAATTTTCAAACTGGAGTTTAATGGTGAGATCTCTGAGTTGCTGGAGAAAACCAATATGGACTCGAAGCGAGTAAACTAGGTAGAGGCAACCCAGGGAATGGTGGAAGACTAAGAGGGGCTTCAGGCTCTGGTCCCTCCTGTCAAACTTATGGATGTTATAGTTCCTGTAGTGCTTCTTCTGTATATGAACTGCCCCCGTCCTTCCAACATAACCCTGGGGGGTTAAAGCTAATTTGAACTGGGTTTCTGTCCCTTGTAACTGCAAGTGTCCTGGACTAAATCTCTCCTCATATCCACTTCTTCTTCACCTGAGGACTCCATCTTTGTAATGGTATTACTGTCCACTCTGAACCAAACTAGAGCCTGAGTCAGCCTTGGTTCCCCATTTTCCCTCACATCCTAGGGCCTCCATATACAAGGCTCTGTGAACAGTTATGGATGCTGTTCACTGAATAAATGTACCTGGCTACAAAGGTCAGTGGGGGCTGAAGTCCAGCCTGCTCTATGATTTCCCAGCTATGAACCCTGGTGCAGAGCAGCACCCTCAGGAAAGAAGGGACAGCTTTTTCCAATTGCACACTAGCTCCTGGGCCCTCTTCATATGTGTAATTGGTTTCCTCAGTGTAGACACTCTGCATCCCCCTTCCTGTACCTTCTTATACCCCATTATGTGAAGGAACAGTTTATTTTCTGTCGTTTTGTGGTCTTTGCTCTTGCTGTGTCCTCAGCTTGGAGTATCCTCCCCTTTCATGACCAACTCCTTCAAGATTCTTACTAGAGGTTACCTGCTTGTCTCTACCTTCTGTTTCTACTGTGTTCTTCTACCACATACACCCCCATTATAAGAATTTATTGTAATGTAACCAACTGCTAAGAGATCCAATCTCTCCAAATGTCTCAGTGTTTTCCAGAGTCAGGAACTGTCCACTGGTCTCTGTTTTCACCCAGCATAGGACCTGGCAACTACTGAATGAGTGAGCCCCCAAAGGGTCTCAAAGGAGTGTAAAGAACCCCAAGAGACAACTGGAGAACAGCCAGAAGAAAAGCTGAGGATTATTGTAATGGAGCAGCTCTAGGCAGCTTTTCAGGGTCCCTGTGTTGTGGACAGCAGAGGCTTTCCTCAGAGCAGAGAGCAGAAGTCCTTCTTGCTGGCAACATATCTTGCCGGCAGTCCTCAGGGTCATCCCACCTGCCAAGCAGAGCCTTTGAAAGTGGGCCTGTAAGGTTTTCAGGAAAAAAGTGTCTGTTGGGGTGAGATGCAGGAGACATTGGGGTCCTGGTGACAAATGCATGTATGTTTGGGAGCGGGCTTGCAAGGTATGGGGATGGGGAAGAATGTTTACCAGGCCATCCTTCCCGGGGTGCCCTCCAAGCTGTGCATGTGCATGCACACATGCATGGGTCTGTAGGCATTGTCTGTTCTCTTTTCTTGTTTCTCAAGACACAGTTCCTCTTCCAGGAAGCCCTCTCCAGCACGCTGACTAAATCAATGTCCCCATCCACTGCTCTCAGAACGTTTATAGCCAAGCATGAGATGATGCCGGTTTGCACTGCCCTGACACGGCCAGGATGCTCTAGTTCCTGGCTAAGCAGAGATGTCTGTTCCTGTCTGGCCTCCTATGTGGTCCCCTTAAGATTACTCCTATCAATGGGGTGCCTGAGTGGGTCAGGTCATGATCCCAGGGTCCTGGGATCAAGCCCCACGTCAGGCTCTCTGCTCTGCGGAGAGCCTGCTTCCTCCTCTCTCTGCCTGCCTCCCTACCTACTTGTGATCTCTCTCTCTCTCTGTAAAATAAATAAATAAATAATCTTAAAAAAAAAAAACCTTTTAATATTAGTCCTATCACTGAGAGCCTGTAAGTGCCGTACAGCTTACATCGCCACCCCTTCACAATCATTTAGTTTTTCCTTATAATGTCATGAGCACCTGATGCATCGTCTATACCCATGCGACTTCCGGGTGGCACGAATTCCCAGTGTTGCTTCTGGACACCATGCCTGGGTTCACTCAGTGTGTATCCAGGGGCGTGATTCTCAACCTTGCACGCTCTTCAGAATCACTTGGGGAGCTTTTGAAAAATAACAGTACCTGGCCCCAGATATCAGGGCAGATACATTAAATCTTTGGCGAGTGGGGCAGACATGGATCTTTTTTTTTTTTTTTCCACTACTCAAATCATTCTAAAATGCATCCTGACAGAAGAACCACTGACCTGCGTGTGGTGATGGGTCAGAGGAACCTCCCCCGGTATAGGCTCCTTTCTGCAATCCGTCTTCCGCCTACAGGGGTCGCTGCGGTACAGCTGGCCCAAGTTTTCGGGTTTCCTCCCTTCCTAGCCCAGTCCCCAGGGAAAGTCGGAGCCACCGCGGTATAAATTAGCGTCTTTATTTCGAACACCTGAGCGAGCGCCTGCGGCTCGCCCACCTGCTGTATAAACGTACAAAGTCCCTGTCGCACCGCACACCATGCCTCAGAGATAAATACAGCCCTAGGGGCTCCTGCTCTGGCAAAGCAACTCTTATTTACAGGAATAGATTACAAAAGTATTACAAAAAGTGGTCCTGAACTGGGGGAGGGGGTGGAGTGGTTACTGTTAACACTTGTGACACGCGGAACGCGAGGGCGCCCCGCGGGCGCTGGCAAAGGGCAAAGTCGCCGGGGCTCCGGGAGGGAGGCCACGCCCCCTTCAGCAGCACCAGCGTCGGGAGGCGGGGTTTAGATCTGCGCGGGTCCCATCCCTGCTAGGGAAGTGGGGAAAGGCAGAGGAAGGGTCTGGCCCCTCGAGGATCAGCTCTGGCCCAAGAAGGAACACCTAAAGGCCATCGCAGAGAGTCTCAGGGAAGGGTGTTGCGTGGGAAAGAAGGACTGTGTCCTTGCTGTGGAGTGCGGGAGTGGAAACACATCAGTTCTCCCGCCTCTCCCAACTCGGGAGGGGTCGCTTTTAAAGCGCGGTTGGGAGTGGGGGTTGGCATTTAAGCTCAATCTTTCGGGCGCGAGGGACTCTAGGGGCACCGTCCCTCGGGTGCGCGGGCAGCGGAGCCCTCCCATGCGGCCGCCCACCCCCTCAGAGCACCTGGTAGATGGGGTTGGGGGTTGCGCCCGCGGGGCACTGCGGGGCAGCGTCCGGGGAAGGGGTGGGGGCGCCGCGCTCGACCTCGCTCTGGGCGGCTTCCTCCTGTGGACCGGGAGAAGACTCCGGGGGCGCATCCGCCAGCAGAAGCGCGGGCGCGGTGGGGCTGTCGGTGGAGATGCGCTCCACGATGCTGGACAGGCAGTCGAGGCTCGACACCGCGGCACTCTTTCCGGGCCTGGGTTCTGCGCGGGGAGGGGTAGGAGAGTATGCAGTTGAGCGGTGGACAAGTCTCCCACCCACGGGCTCAGTGCTTTGGGGCAGACAGGAAATTGAAGGCCCGCCCGAGTACGAGAGGACCCAGAGAGGGTACCGAGCGAAAAGGAAGGGAGCTGCACGCTTAGTATTTCATTCCCTGTACAGACTCCCAGGACTGGGGGCTAGGGGAAGGTTCTAGATAGAGGGAAGCCGGGGCAGCTCAAAGGGGGTAACGTGGGAAGGAGGCGTGAATACACACCGCCGGGCGTCTCGCTGTAGTAGCTGCCATCGTAGCAGTTCCGCCGCCGGGCACCGTTCGGGGGGCCGCTGTAGTCCATCTGCAAACGGTAAGGGCGACCGAGTCAGGCTCGGGGACCGCGTGGGTCCAGAGCATCACTCCCTGTAGCCACCCCACCTCAAATCCCCGAGTCTCAGCCACGAGTTCTGGGCCCTGGTTGGGGGATCGGGGCAGACAGGCGCTGTCTGCAGCCGCCCGGGCTAACTAGCGGGCAGATAGTCGCCTAGGAACGTAAGTCTGAATTTTGTAAATAGGGTTAAGTGGGGGAAAAGCAGATCTTCATATCGCTGAAGCAGAGCTCTAACGGCGCACCCAGTAGGGTGACTCGCATTTGTCCCGTGCGCCCCCATGGCACCAGACCACCCCTAGTGACAGCTGCTTGGGACACCGGGGTCCACTCGCCGCAAGATTCCCAGCCCAACCTCCCTCTGGAGGGCCTGCTCCTCGCCCTCGGAAACACGTCCCAGATATACCAGAAGCTGCCCTCACTTCTCTAGCTGGGGGTCCCCGCCTTACCATGCCGTCGGAGCAGTTGGACCGAGGGCTGGACGCGTCTGAGTCGCCGCTGTAGTGTTCGCCCACACGGCCTGGGGGCAGCGGGCCAGGCGCGTAGAAGGCAGCGGCGGCACCAGGGGGCGCGGAGTCCTGGTCGCGCAGCAGCGCCTGCAGGCCTTCGATGTAGCGAATCGCATTGCGCAGGATCTCCACCTTGGGTAGACGCTGGTTCGGGTTGCTGGACGTGCAGCGCTTGAGCGTCTCGAAAGCCTCGTTGACTTTGCTCAGGCGGCGCCGCTCGCGCATGGTGGCGGCCTTGCGGCGGTCGGCGTTAGTGGTCTTGCGCTTGCACGCTTTGCAGGCCCACAGCAGACAGCGGCCAGCCTGGTGGTGCCCGCTGGGAGCGCGCACATGCTCGTCCTCACGCGTGCCTGGCGCCGGGTGCACCGCCGCCGGGAAGTGCGAGTGTTCCTCGGGTTTCAGGAGCGCGCCCACGTGCACGAGGCGCGGGTCCAGGTCCTCGAAGAATCGCAGGTCGGAGGAGTCGAAACAAGGGTCATCATAGAAATCATCCGCCGAGGCAAAGTTGCAGAGGGCGCCGTCGGGGCCAGTCAAGTCTACGTCTCGGAGCGGCGGCGACAGCAGCTCCATATCCCGGCAGAGGGTGGCGCAGTCCCTGCTTCGGTAGGGGTTACCCGAAACTTTCTGCCTATCTGCAGTCCTGGCCCTGCAATAGTAAAGTACCGGGGTTCTGAATGTACACCCCACTATCCTCCCCCCCCCCCTCTGCCGGGTCCTGTTGGGTCTGCTGGGAAAGCCGCTGCAGCGCCCCGGGGCTTCCCCACCCCTGTCTTCACGCCAGGCGCCGGGGGCTATTTATCCAGTAGTAGCTTAAGGGCCCCCGAGCCGGAGCGGGCGGCTGGGGGCGGGGGCGCCCGAGGCCAATAGAAACAAGGTGGGGAGGAGCTTGGGATCCCCAGGGTGGCTGCTGGGGCAAGAGACTGGCCAACCCCCTACCCTCGACCCCCGCGCGCGGGCGCTCCGGCCCCTCCCTAGGCTGGGAGGGAGGCAGAGGCTGGCAGCCCAACGCGGTTGCACTTGGCTCCGGGGCACACTTGCTCCAAACCTCTCCAGCACCGTACTCCTCCTATGTCCCCGGGAAGTGTTGGCCGCGCGCGCTCAACTCCAAGCTGACTTTGGGTCTCCCTCTGTCCTCTGATTTATGGGGGAACCTAGGTGCACGGTAGGAGTAGGAAACAGATCGCGAGAGACTTAGAGAGAGACCCATGGCAATAGGGCAGAGACACACTCAGAGGTGAGACAGTGAGACAGTAAGAGATACAGCCAAAAGACAGACACGGAAAGCAGAAAGCTAAAGCCAGAGACAGAGAAATCTGCAACGAGAATTAGAGTCCAAGTGGATGAACCTGAGACAAACTGGACGTGGGGGCCAGGTCACTAGGTCAGTTCGTACCTGGGAGTCGCTCAGAGGGCGGTGGGCCCAGTATCCCCCTCTGGATGCTTAGAAACTGAGCCGCTGCATCTACGCAGAAGAGGGGGATGGCTGCCAAAGCGCCTCACCAATGTCTGGAGCCCAGGTTCTGCCCTGGCCTGGAGGGAGGGGACTGAACTCTTGCCTAGCTCGACCTGCGTGTGTCAGCAGCGGAGTGCCCTGTGCGGTTCTGGGTGGAGATGTATCTTTCACTGGGAAGAAAAAGGCTCTGGTTTTCCCTCGCGCACAGCGAGGTTCATGGAGCAAAGCCCTCCAACGCCCAGACTCAGCCTGAGAACCCCACTTCAGAGGGGATGTTTGAGAGTAGAGTTTGGGAGACCAGCGATCTAAGTTCGAGGCCAGATCCCATAGCTTCTTGTGTGATTTTGCCGAAGTCATACCACCTTCCAAGCCTCAGTTTCCCCACTTTGTAAATTTGGGGATAATAATAGCTATTTCTTGGAGTAATTGTGGTTGTGGTGAGAATCTAAAAGAGACCAAAGATGTGGAGGCCCTTAGTCCCAGATACAAGACCGTATTACCGAGAGGACTTGCTTCTGTCGTTGGCCCAGACTGAGCTGTGGGCTCCCTGCAGGTTTCCCAGCTGTTGGCTGGGGCACTGAGCCCTGACAGGGACCCATGTGGTATCAGGGCTTAGCTTCTGCAGAGGTCTTAGCTGCATTTCTTCCCAGCAAGCCCACTGGAAAGACTGGGAATAGAAGGAGAAGGCAATTCAGGGGATCTCTGGCTCCTTCACAAGCCCTGGGTAACCCCCACCCCCAGAATGCCTCTTAACCTTTTCTTGAATCTCTCGTCCACATCTTCCTATCAGCACTCTGACTAGAGGTCTCCCTTGGACCAGATAACCCTCCAGGGCTCTCTCCCTGCAGCACCTACAGATAGAAGCAAGAGTAGTCATTGTGCCTTATACTTCGAGAAGCTGTCCTAACTGGCTCCCTGGACCCTGGGAAGCTCTCCCTTCCCACCAAACCTAACAGACTTGTTGGGAGCCCTGCCTTCTTCACTTCTCTGCCACTAGCAATGCTGAAGGTCCCCTTCATGATGTGGTCCCCTCCCTTCACTCTTTAACTTCACCTTCATGTAGTCCTTCAACACATATTATGAAGCATCCCTTTGTGCCAGTTATTGGCCTAGGTGTTGGGGGATACAGCAATGAATAAAATGGAGACTCTGATCTTGTGGTGTTTACATTGTATGGTAGGGAGACAGATAATAAACAAATAAGCCAGAAAAATGTGATATCAGGAAGTTTTCAGTTCTATGAAGAAAAATAAAGCAAAGGGAAAAAGTGATGAAGATTATTTCATTATATGGAGTGGTCTGGTAAGGCCTCTCTGAGCTGATTACATTTGAGCAGAGACCAGAATGAAGGAAGGGCAGAAGCAGGTATCTGGAGTCAGATAGAAGGAAGAGCATATGCAAAAGTCCTGAGGCAGGACTGTGTTTGTTATATTTAAAGTACAGCAAGGAGGCTGGTGTGTCCGCAGCAGAATGAGCCAGTGGGAGAGTGGTAACAGATGGGGTGAAAGAGGGACAAAGAATTTGAATTCTGAGATGAAAAGCCACTGGAGAGGGACGCCTGGGTAGCTCAGTTGGTTAAGCAGCTGTCTTCGGCTCAGGTCATGATCCCGGCATCCTGGGATCGAGTCCCACATCGGGCTCCTTGCTCAGCAGGGAGTCTGCTTCTCCCTCTGCCTCTGCCTGCCACTCTGCCTGTGCTCACTCTCTCTGACAAATACATAAATAAAATCTTAAAAAAAAGAAAAGAAAAGCCACTGGAGGGCTTGAGTTGGAAGAGAAGAATGTTATCGATTGACTTACATTTTAACAGGAGCATACAGGTTTTGGAGAGCAAAGGCAGAAGCAGGGAGAGCATTAGGAGACTATTGTAATGAGCCAAGTAAGTGGTGATGGTGGTTTAGATCTGGGTACCAGCAGTGAAGATGGTGAAACGTAGTTCAATTCCAAACATATTTTGAAGATGGAGTCAGCAATATTTATTCATGTTTGGATGTAGGCAGGAGGACAAGAGAGGAGTTGAGGAGGACTTGGAGAAAAACGGAGTTGAGGAACAGCAGGTTTGCAGGTGACAGATCGGGAGTTCAAGTTAAGACACAATTTGAGATGGGTGTTCAACATCCAGGTGGAGAGATTAGGTAGGTAGGGGTTTCATGAGTCTGGAGTTCCAGGGGGGAGGTCTGGGCAGGGGGAAGCCCTGTCCACTGAGACATCAGAGTCTCTCCAACCCCAGTGCTGCCATCCTGGACTAAGGCACCACTCTCCTGACCTGGATGACCACCAGGGCTTCCTGGCTGCTCTCCTTACTTCCTCCATTCTTGCCCCAGCATAATCTGTCCCCCTACACAGCAGCCTGAGTAATCCTTTAAATATGTAAATGAGATGATATCCCTTTCCAGCTTTAAACTCCTTAAGAGCTTCTCTGTTACACTTAGAATAAAATCTCATCTCCTTACACTAGCCTGTAAAGTCCTACACAAGTTGGCCTCAGCCCATCTGTTTGATTTCATCTGGAGCCACCATCCCTTCTGATCACTCCATTCTAGTCTGAGCTCCTTTCCCATCTTCGAACACTGAGAGCGTGATCTGACCTCAGAGCCTTGTCCTTGCTGCTTACTGCCCTGGCCCCAGCTCCTCCCACGATCGCTGCTTTTCCTATATCAGGTCTCAGCTCAAACATCACTTCCTGGGGATGTCTCCGACCATCTCCTCTAAGGTAGCTGGGTCACGTCACTCTGCCCTTCTTCACAGGGTCACTCTGTAATTATCTTCTTAATTCGCTCACTGATGGATATAGCCTCAGGAAGGCAAAATCGTTTTGCTCACCATGGCATCTCCAGAAACCATCTCAGTGGCTGTCACATAGTAGGAACTTGATAAATGTCGAATGAATGAATGGGTGGCCTCCTGCCCTTTGAATCTCTATGCATATATTTGAATATCATGAAATATGTCATTAATGAGAATGGTTGTACCTCTTTTTTTTTTTTTAAAGATTTAATTAATTTATTTATTTGACAGAGAGAGAGACAGCCAGAGAGGGAACACAAGCAGCGGGAGTGGGAGAGGGAGAAGCAGGCTTCCAGCCAAGCAGGGAGCCCAATGTGGGGCTCAATCCCAGGACCCTGGGACCATGACCTGAGCTAAAGGCAGACACTTAATGACTGAGCCACCCAGGTGCCCCTGGTTGTACCTCTTTTAAGCTAGTACACAATTAAACATACATGCTGGGTCACACTTTCTCTGCCCAGGCAAGACTCAGGGCCTGTCTGTTGAACAAATTCACATGCCCTGCTCCAATATCTTAATAGTGTACTATAGACTGGGCACTTACTAGAAGTTTGTGTCTTTTCATTTGTCTTACACACAATGAGAAGGGCAAATAATTATTATAATAGATTTAGATCAAAACACATATTTCTTTCTACTTGCTCCTGCATCAGCAGCAGAATGCCTGGCACACAGTAGGTTCTCAATAAATACTCATTGGATGAATCAATTAATGAATCAAACCGTTTGATTGTAGAGTACCCTGAGATTTCCAGGTGAGCTCCTCAAATCACTTATCCATGTGAATCAAAATTTTTCTCAAGCCTGAGCAAGCAGGACTTAATGCTAAGACTTACAAGATTACAACTTTGTGTTTTGGGTTTTGTATTCACAAAAAGCACCTTGGGGTCATCATCAAATTGCCTTTAGGATAAGTAAACGTTGTACGTTAGACTTACCAAACATTGAATATATTAGCACTTGTGGCTTAGCTTAGACATCTAAACTGCTTTGACAGTTTTAAACTTGATTTGTAGCTTCATCTTCTTCAGTAATTAGGAAGCACACAGGCCCACTGGCACGCTGCCACTCTTCTATTAGACTTCCAAGTAGGATTTAGTTTGTTACAAGGCTCCCGCTGCTTGAAGAGTTTGGAAATCACTGGACTCAGTGGCTGTTACAGACCTTCCAGGCTGGGACCTATGCCTGACTGGGGTCACTCTCCTTGTGGTGACACCACATTCTCGGGGACAAGTTTGCCAACACCACTGTTCCATCTCTGTTGCTTAAAGAGCAGGGAGCTGGTGCCCTCTTTTCAGTCCTAGTGCTGGGGTGGGGCCAGGGAGGGGGAAAATGACAAATCTGGAAGCAGAAAGAGCCCAAACTCTTATAGGTGTGGAGTCTAGTCAAGGGTGCCTCTTGGGGACACATGTGC